CTACTACACTCCAGCCTAGGCAAGAGTGAAACCCTGTCTTAAAGAAAAAAAAAAATTATTTGACTGACCTGCAAGTTTCTCTTGTTTCAGCAATTTCTCTCTGCTCATCTTTGCTATTTAACACAGCACCAATGCTGTCAGCACTTTCAGCTCCCAACTGAGAGAAGGCAAAATCAGAAATTAGGTCACAATGCATTAGATAGCCTTTCTAAGCATTTGTAGCAGCATTTAATATATTAAATATTTAAAAATCAAAAACACCTTAATTCACACACACACACACACACACACACACACACACACACTGAATTAATCAGCTTGCAAGACAAACTGGAAAAAACCTGGAAACAAACTGTATTAAGAATGAGTTTGACGGCTGGTAAAGCATGTTACGCTTTCGGTTATACAGATGCTCCTTGATTTATGATGAGGTTATGTCCTGATAAACCCATTGTAAGTTGAAAGTAAATCTGTTTCAAAACAAATGTTGTAAGTGCATTTTCAACTTATATTTTCCACTTATAATGGATTTATCAGGACATAACTCTACCATAACATCATTAAGTCAAGGAGCAGCCTGGTTGCCTATCACTTTCTTTTTTTTTTTTTTTGAGACAGAGTCTCACACTGTCACTCAGGCTGCAGTGCAGTGGCACGATCCCAGCTCACTGCAATCTCTGCCTCCTGGGTTCAAGCAATTCTCCTGCCTCAGCCCCTGAGTAGGTGGGACTACAGGTATGTGCCACCACACCAAGCTAATTTTTTTGTATTTTTAGTAGAGACCATATTGGCCAGGATAGTCTCATCTCCTGACCTCGTGATCTGTCCACCTCGGCCTCCCAAAGTGCTGGGATTACAGGAGTGAGCCACCATGCCCGACCGCCTATCACTTTCAAACCATCATAAAGTCAATTGTTAAGTCAAATGATAAGTCTGGGGCCATCTGTATTTGAAAATAAGACACTTTAGCCAATTTCCTATAAAGTAATAAACATGATTTAGTACAGGTTGAGCATTCCAAAACAGAAAATCCAAAATGCTCCAAAATCTGGAAATTTTTTGAGTACTAACATGACATTCAAACGAAATGGTCACTGAAGCATTCAGATTTCGGGTTTTGGCATGCTCAACCAGTAAGTAATATGCAAATAATCCAAATCCTGAAAAGAAGTCTGAAATCCAAAACACTTGTGGCCCAAGCATTTCAGATAAAAGAGATTCATCCTGCAGTAGCAATAACCAAAAAAAAAAAAAAAAAAGCAGCTAAGACAGTGTTTGCATAGGGTTGTGGGTACTATGTTAATCATTTTGTAGGCATCAGCTTATATAATGTAATTTATATCGTATGCTCTAATAAAAAAAAAAATCTATCTAGTTTTACTGAAGCTGAGTTTTACTATTTATAGACACAATGCTGAACTTTACTACCTTAAAATGGTAACATAAATTTTGTTTGGCAGTTGGGAAAATTTTGCAAAATACAAACAAATGTGAACAAATAATGGTTAAGATAAGGCTGGCTAAGTAGAGTGCAACCAATTCATTAATAAACTTTAAAAGCCAGACCAGAATGCAGAATGCAATTTATGGGCCATGAGGAACCATTTAATATTTTCAAGCACATGGGCCCAGGAGCTCAAGGTTGGAGTGAGCTATGATCACATAACTACTCCAGCCTGGGTGACTGATCAAGACCCTATCTCTAAATATACATATTTAAGCACAAGCAGGGCATGAAGAAATCTGTATTAAATAGTCCATTTACCTCAGGAAAAGGGAGGAAGCATACTAAAATATCAGACTAGCAAGTCACCAGCCTTGATCTTAAACAACTATCCACTAATCTTGTAGTCCACCCACACAAAATGACTCCCCTCAGATTCCCTCAATGATATATCTCTTCCAATATAGCAACTCTTCCTGAAATTTCAACTCCTCCATAAACTCTTCCTTACTCCTTTTCTCCTTAATCAGGAGACAATAGACCTACTTCCTACAGTTGGAATGCTATCTAACTTTCTTCCTGTAACTGATTCCTTTCTTTTCCTATCTCAGATGAGTACACATTATTTACTCAGAGATTTTTTTCCTTCCCTGTATGGATAGGCAGTCCCCTTCCATTATTCTCCTTTTTACCTTGTTTCCTTATCAATTTCATAGCACTTAATACAACTTTCAATTACTTATCTTTTACTTTTATTTTCTATTTATATTGTTTATTTAGTAGTCACAACTTTCAATTATTTTATTTGCATACTTCAATTATTTTATCAGTTTTTGTTCACTTCTCCCCAATAAAATGTAAAATCCCTATAGGAAGACCCTGCCTATATGTTCAGCAACTACTGTAACACTTGACTAACAGTATATGTTAATCAATATCTGCTGAACAAATGAAATTTCCTACTAGAGTCTCAATTAGGATACAATGTATCACAGGAGAAATGTATTAAATCATAATTCTGCTTACATGTTTAATTGTCTTCTCACAGGCCAACATTTTTTTTTTGTTATGGTGGCACTAAACATGTTATCTGAATAATCATAACAATTTGGTATCTTTTGAAATTAATAAATGTGAACAAATAATGATTAAGATAAGGCTAAGTAGAGTGCAACTAATTCATAAAACAAAACTACAAGCTGAAATAAAAGGCAGGTATAAATTGCTGGTGATAGCATCCAATTGCCAACATCATGGTCTGGGCCTACCTAATGCATCCAATGTCTTAATCCAGCAGACCAAAGCAAATTATACACACTGAGTTGTGCTCTACGCTATTTCATCAATCAACAAACATTTATTAAAAGCTTATTTTGTGCAGGAAGCAATGCTGGGATAGGAGATTAACCCAACAGGAGTCAAATGCAAAGACTTTGCACCCAAACAGTCGGTATTCTGTTTGACAATTAACAAACGATATATAGTAGTAGACTCAACAATAAGGACAATGAAAGCTCAAAGCGTGCACCTAAGCCAAGGTGATCGGGACAGATTTCACCACTATGTTGTAAGCTGTGGCATGGAAGCTACAAGGAATTCAGAATGGAAGGAGAACAATTTCAAACATCATAAAGGCTATATCGCACAAAGTGTGTTCTGGAGAGTAATAAACCAGTCTGCCATGTTCATCATAAACAGAAAAGCAAGTGAAAGAGAGGCTGAAGTTAATTGGTAAAGAGGATGAGGATGTGGGTCATTGATTATATTGGGCATCCTTACTAAAGTAGAATGGTTCATGTCCAACTAGAAGACCAGCAGACAGCTAGATGCACTAATAAAGATAGGGCCTAAGTTAAAAATTGCAGCTTGCAAACTTACCAGCTTTTTGGCTTTAGGCATGTAACTTAAATTCTTTGAGCTTAATTTCTTCATCTATAAAATGCTGATAGCATCTGATATGTAGGATGGAAAATAATGTATGTAAAAATCTTAAAGTCTGACACATAATTAGAAGAGACTTTAAAAATGGCAACCATCATTAAACTTTATGCACTTTTGAAGCTCTTTAAGGATAGGGACTACCTATTACTTGTAGTTCATTTGCCAAAGACTACTAGAACCCCTTGCAATTTGTTGAGTGTAAAACACCCAATAATTGTCCTATGAATGCATCCTGAGTCAAATAGAAGTCTGAATTCCATATTAAGGAGTGAAACATCTTCTGTGGTAGCAACAAAGAGCTACTGAACTTTTAAGAAGTTGGGGAAAAGAAGACTTAGGATACTTGATTTGTCCAAAATGATAATGCCAGAGGGACAAGGAACAAATGTGATTCCAAGTTCCCACTGTTTTAGCAGTATACCATAAATCTGTTCATCAGATCATAAATAGGTTTCAGAATTCCATTTACTAAAAACAAGTTTCATTACTGAAAAATAACAGCAAGATGACCAATTACAGTCCATGAGCATTTCTTCTATCACTTTTACTGATCTGAATGGTAGACTGGAAAACATAGCCTCGATTTTAAGTAGAACTGTGCACAATCTGTATTTTCTTCACGTATACCCTACTGATCGGCAAATGTTAACTTACTCATACACAAGAAGCAGTGAAGGACAATGGTTCAGAAGACAAGCTTTGGGGAGACAAACCTAGGTTCTATTTCCCAGCCGAGAAGTGAGCGACCAGGAGTAAAATTCCTTAACCTATGGAGCCTATTTTATTATTTGTTAAGTTTAGGAAACACTACCTGTTTCAAGAGATTATTGTGACTAACAGAGAGTAAGATTTCAAATATTAACTGTGGGTGTGACAAGGATACTATACATAAGATGCGGAATCTAAAATTTACACTCAGGCTACTTCCAGTGCAGTCTTTTAGAAAAACGTCAAATACTGCAAAAGTATTTCACAATGAAACCACGATCTCAAGAATTTGGTGCTGACGACGAGGAAAAGTAAAAAAGAGATGATCATTTAAATAGTGAAGAAAAATGCAGGGGATAACATGCCATTCATCCTGGCGTGAAAGCGTAGATAAGCCTTGCCAGACACTCGGTGGGCGTTCCACAGATTCGAAGCCAATCTTAGCATTCGGTTTAGCATAACAAAGACCGCGGAAGGAAATGGAAAAACATTCGGTGCACTGGAAAAGTTGAGAACAAGAAAGGGAGAACCAGGGATCAGGATCGCAGGACCAGAAAGACCTTGACAGCGGCAGGTAGAGAGGGGACAGAAAAAGGCGGGGTGTGGAACTAGGAGGCGACCGCGCACTCGCATTCGCGATCCCTCCCGCAGGGACCACCAGGGCCGCGGACCTGCTGCGCGAGGAGCTGTCGCCGTAACTTCTGCCGCTCCCGGATCTCCTGCAATCGGCTATCCATGTTCCAACTGCTGTTTTTCACTACCCCGAATATTTGTCAATCGCCAGTGAACCCTTGTCCAACTTTTCTTCCGAGTCTGTGGAACACAGTATTCACCTGGAGTTTAAGAACAGAGTAACCTCCATGCTTTCCTCAGCAGGTACTTCCGGCGCGGCAGGAATTGGCTCGCTTGGCCCGGAAGTCCCGCCTCCTCCGTACGCTCGCGATCTGACGCCACTATGAAGGGACACAAAGGGATCTGTGACTCTGCAGGGGTATTCGGGCCTCTAGGCCGCCGCGGGATGGGGTGGTCTGAGCTAGTCGGAAGGAGGATAGTTACTGACCTCTCCTTTATCTCTCCTTCCCACGGTATTAGGCTCCTTGGTGTATCACACTGTTTCCGAAGTGTTGATTCTCTTTTCAATTGATTACACAGATGACAATTCCTGACGTTTAAAACATTGCCAGACACCTTTAATTTTTTTGTTTGTTTTAACTTAGAACACAAACTTAAGCCAGATTGCCCAGGATTGAACCTTGGTCTCTCACTTCCTAGCCGAGCGGCCTTGGCTAGTTAACCACCTTCCTGAGCCTGAGTCTTCTCATCTGTGAACTGGGAGTAGTAAGTGTCTACCTCACAGAGCTGTGATTGAAAGGATAAACAGAACGTGGCACATGAGCTATTTCCGTTTAGGGAAATGAGTGTGTGATAGTAAAGTGTGTCTTGGGTTATGTCCTAGGAGTCAGAAGCTAAGTGACTCCTTGCCACCGAAGTGTCTGGCAAGGATCTACGCTTTCACGCCAGGATGAGTGCCATGTTATCCCCTACATTTCTCTTCACTATTTAAATGATCATCTCTTTTTTACTTTTCCTCGTCGTCAGCACCAAATTCTTGAGATCGTGGTTTCATTGTGAAATACTTTTGCAGTATTTGACGTTTTTCTAAAGACTGCACTGGAAGTAGCCTGAGTGTAAATTTTAGATTCCACATCACTCCTTTTTGTGCTTGTACATTTGTCTTAACTGAAAATAACCCAAGGATAAGGAAACATAGCTTCCTGAAATTACTCGGAAGTAATTTCCGGGATGGAGGATGAAGGGTGAGGGCTAGGAGGTGGTGATTCTCTCCTCAAAGGAAGGTAGCAAAGGCCAAAGTCTTATTTGAGTTATTACGATTATTATTCACCACATTTGCCGTCTTATTTCAAACTTACAGCGGCGGAAGTGGACTAAAACATAATGTTGCCTCAAGTTTAATTGGAAGTCGTGGTAAGTACTTACCAAAATTAGTTAACATGTCTGTTCTTTGAGAGTGGATTTAATTTTCAAAAATAATATTAAATCATCCAGATTAAAACCAGTTGAGTCAGGCTGGGCCAAAAGCGGCCAAGAACTAGTTTCCATCCACTAGTCCTTGCCCACTTTTATAGAAATAATTATAATGTATTTCTCAAGAACTAGGTCTGAAAGGCAAGTTTGAACAAGTAGTTCTAAATTCCTTGAGTAATGTCAGCACTATTTGGGTGCTGTAAAATATTAATGTCCATATGAGTTAAAATGTATTTCTTTAAAAATCAGTTGTATTACCTGCCAATCATTTAAGTTGAATACTGATTTAAATTTTACCAATGATAAGAATAGGCATTTATTCCTTTAAATGTCTGTTGATACTGATTTTATATGGCAAGCACTGTGATAAACCCTACGGTCTATAGAGTTCATCAAAGATTAACTACGAAATAAGTCAGTTTTTCTTTACAGAGTTTACTGTCAAATGGAGGATTTTGTTTTCCTGTTAAGGTGCTATGCAGGTTATTTGCCTGTAATCTTTGAGCCCCATACTCACCTACCCTTTGCTCCGAGATGATGGCTAGGCAGGGAGTCCACAGACTACACTTCCCTGCCTTCTTTGTTAGATGGCTTCCTGCCCACTGGAGGCACAGGAAGGAAATCAAAAGGTGGAACATGGGAAAACTATTGTCCGTTTCTTTTACGCTCTGCTACTGGCATCTAGAGCAATGTCTCTGTCCCTTACAAAGTCTAGAGCCAGTTAGAGCAGCCCCTCTTTTCTTCACCTTAAGAAGGTGACACCCTTAACAATGAGTTTGCTCTTTGCTATGGTAATAGTACTTCTGCCTTCTGTTCCACCAGCTCAAGGACTGGTAGCCATCCTGCAGTTTAAAATTTCTAATTCAATCTTCTCCCATTTTGCTCTTTTAGCCTTCAATACCTGCTTAACTATTTCTCCATAGTAAATTGTGTCTGTTTAAAATACTTTGTTTTCCTGCCTAGAACTGTACTGATGCAGATATGTACTACCATGTAATATTTACAAATCTGTTCAAGTCAAGCAGAGGGTTGTTGCAATTTTTACAAAGAAGGAGATATAATTTTGAAATCTCTCTCCCAACTAATGAATTGATTATTTATTTATTTTTCAAGACAGAGTTTTCCCAGGCTGGAGTGCAATGGTGTGATCTTGGCTCACTGCAACCTCTACCTCCCAGGCTCAAGGGATTCTCTTGCCTCAGTCTTTCAAGTAGCTGGGATTACAGGCATGCACCACCATACCTGGCTAATTTTTTATTTTTAGTAGAGACAGGATTTCTCCATGTTGTTCAGGCTGGTCTCGAACTCTAGACCTCAGATGATCCACCTGCCTCGGCCTCCCAAACTACTGGGATTACAGGCGTCCGCCACCACACAAAGGCTCCAACTAATGAATTTTAAAACACCAGACCACATCAGCATACCTGTAGATTATCTTACATGCCCATCAGTAACATCTATTTATTATAGCAACATGAGGGCCACTGGGAGTGTGTGTGGTAGGAAGAGGAGGAAGAAATCTGGCAAGTCCTCACATAATTCATACTTTTTGAAGAAGCAATTTACTTATAGGCACTTATTTTAAGAAAGTAAAGAGAGATTCGGCCGGGCATAGTGGCTCATGCCTGTAATCCCAGCACTTTGGGAGGCCGAGGCGGGTGGATCACGAGGTCAAGAGATTGAGACCACCCTGGTCAACATGGTGAAACCCCGTCTCTACTAAAAATATTTAAAAAAATTAGCTGGGCATGGTGGCGCGTGCCTGTAATCCCAGCTACTCAGGAGGCTGAGGCAGGAGAATTGCCTGAACCCAGGAGGCAGAGGTTGCGGTGAGCCGAGATCGCACCATTGCACTCCAGCCTGGGTAACAAGAGCAAAACTCCGTCTCCAAAAAGAAAAAAAAAAAACAGAGAGATTCACATTATGACTTATGCATCTCTCCCCAACCTCCTGGAGAATGACTCCTCCAAACCTATGCTCCACAATTCATGATGCTCCCCTACTTATGATGGGGCTATGTCCCAATAAATATATCGTAAGTCAAAAAATTGTTAAGTAGTCCAGGCACAGTGGCTCCTGCCTGTAATCCTAGCACTTTGGGAGGCCAAGGCAGGTGGAGCAACAGAGGTCAGGAGTTTGAGTCCAGCCTGGCCAACATGGTAAAACCATGTCTCTACTAAAAATACAAAAATTAGCCGGACTAGTGGTGGGCACCTATAATCCCAGCTACTTGGGACGCTGAGGCAAGAGAACCACTTGAACCTGGGAGTCGGAGGTTGCAGTGAGCTGTAATCGCACCATTGCACTCCAGTCTGGATGGTAAGAGTAAAACTCATGTCTCAAAAAAAAAAAATTGTAGGTGGAACCATTATTAGAGATTGCCTGTGTATCTAGTTGCCTATCATACACCTTACTAAATACACCTTATCATACACCTTAAATTATGCCCTCCACAATATCTGCTGTGGTGTACATAGCTAGGAGCTACCATTATTAGTTAGCACATGTCTGGCTGGCTTCAAGCGGATAAGTACCTTAACCACTTAGCATTTTATACAATACTTTGCTGCCTCACTGATACAGTTTGCATCTAAGTTCCTGCCAAATTTCATGTTGAATTGTAACCCCTAATTTGGAGGTGGAGCCTGGCAGTAGGTTTTTGTCACCTCCAAAAATTCATATTGAAACTTAATCCTGAATGTAACAGTATTGGGAGGTGTGGCCTATGGGAGGTGTGGCCTATGGGAGGTAAAGGGCTCTACCTTCATGAAGTACTCTTATAAAAAAGGTTTCGGTGCAGTGGCTCAAGCCTGTAATCCCAGCACTTTAGGAGGCCAAGGCGGGTGGATCACGAGGTCAAGAGATCGAGACCATCCTGGTCAACATGGTGAAACCCCGTCTCTACTAAAAATACAAAAAATTAGCTGGGCATGGTGGCGCGTGCCTGTAATCCCAGCTACTCAGGAGGCTGAGGCAGGAGAATTGCCTGAACACAGGAGGTGGAGGTTGTGGTGAGCCGAGATCACACCATTGTACTCCAGCCTGGGTAACAAGAGCGAAACTCCGTCTAAAAAAAAAAAAGGGGTTTGGCAGAGAGAGTTCCTCTTTTGCCCTTCTACCATCTACCATGTAGAATAGCATTCCTCCCCTCTGGAGGATGTAGCATTCAAGGTGCCATCTTGAAAGCAGAAATTGGACCTTCACTAGACAACAAACCTGCTGGCAACTTGATCCTGGACTTCCTCACCTTCAAAACTGTTAGAAATACATTTCTGTTCTTCATAAATTACCCAGTCTGTGGTACTTTGTTACAACAGCACAAATGGACTAAGACAATCTCAAACTTAACATGAAAACCTAAATTTATCATCCATTAAAAACAATTTTACTCCTCTAGCATTTCCTATTTCAGAGATTAGGGTCAATATCTACCCATTTTCCTAAACAAGAAGCATCCCAGCTCTACTTCAGCCTCCATATCTACTCTGTAACTGTAGTTTTGCTTCTGGTTGCACCACTGACACTCAGCATTATTCATTTCTATAACCATGACCAGTGGATGACATGTATTCTGATTTGTATTGTAATTGTCTTATCTTTTTCCAGTCTATCCCATTTTTTCTAGAAATTTGTGGAAATTTTTAATTTTGTCATTTCAAACTCTGCTAAAAATTTTTTCGTATTTCCTCATTGTCTAGGGCAGCACTATCCAACAGAACTTTCTGTAATAATAGGAATATTCTACTAACATTTATTTCTATACTACTCAATATGGTAGCCACCTGCCATATGTGTCTACTGGACACAAAATGTTGCTAGTGTATTATTATTTGTAAAATAAAGATCACTGAATCTTTAATTTAATTAAATGTAATTAGCTGTATTTGGCTAATAGCTACAATATTAGAAAGCATATGTCTGGGTTCAAGGGGATAAATGTCTAAACCACTTAGCATTTTATATAATACATTGCTGTCTAACTAATAGAGTTTAAATGTATGTCCCCACCAAATCTCATGTTAAATTGTAATGTTGGAGGTACAGCCTGGTGGTAGGTGTTTGGATCACAGGAGCAGATCCCTCATGAATGGCTTTGGCCATTCCCTTGGTAATAAGAGCTCTCAATCTGAGTTCACTTGAGATCTTGTGGTTTAAAAGTCTATGGCACCTCCCCCTGCCCCATTCTCTCTCTCTCCCTCTTGCTCCTGCTCTGGCTACATGACATGTCTGCTCCCTCTTCACCTTTGCCATGGTTGTAAGCTTCCTGAGGCCTCTCCAGAAACTGAGCAGATGCCAAAACCATGTTTCCTGTACATTCTGAAGAACCATAAGCTGGTTAAACCTCTTCTCTTTATATGTTATCCTTTCTCAGGCATTTTCTTATAACAATGCAAGAATGGCCTAAAACAGCCTGCTCTAGTCTCCTTTATGTACCCAATTGTATAAGCACATTAAAGTGTTTTTTTTCCTAAACATGTCTTTTTTCTTGTTCTTGTTGTAAATTTGTAATTAAGAGAAAATTCTTATAGAATAGAGAGATGGGCTCCAAAGTGATCTAAAAATACATTTTGTAAGCAGAAAGTGTTTTCAGGAATGCACATAAGATAAAATGAGTGTCAGAATCCAATGACAATTTCTGTTTCCTTCCAGTGCCTTGCAAAGAATGGACACTCAGTAGATGCTTATTGATGAACCTGCTGGTTGAGCTTTTGTCAGAAAAACTGTGAGTAGCTAGTAGAAGTTGGAGAGAGCACTTAGCATTTTACATCATCCTTGGAGCTTTATTTATAGTCATTAAATGCAGAAGACTCCCCAGTTCATGAATTTATTGTGCTCAGCAATACAGCTGCTGAGATCTAGTGCACATGTGTGTGTCAAATTAATGGACTACATGAGAAACAGAGACGAAGATTGTTTATCTCATCACTTATCAATACATTTTTAAAAGGTACTGCAACTACATTAAAATAATTTTATTTATTTATTTTTTTGAGACAGAGTTTCACTCTTGTCACCCAGGCTGGAGTGCAATGGTACGATCTTCGCTCACTACAACCTTCACCTCCCAAGTCCAGGCAATTCTCCTGCCTCCCAGGTAGCTGGGATTACAAGCACCAGCCACCACACCCGGCTAATTTTTGTATTTTTAGTAGAGATGGGGTTTCACCACGTGGGCCAGGCTGGTCTCGAACTCCTAACCTCAGGTGATCTGCCCACCTCCCAAAGTGCTGGGATTAGAGGCGTGAGCCACCGCACCCAGCCACCTAAAAATAATTTTAATGGCCTGATTTTCTGGAATGTAAAGTAAAAAGAGATCTTTCACAGCCTGTATGTTAATATCAAATGGAAACATGGAGAATTCAATGTTTGATTTATTTTGGGAATTTGCACCAAACATCCCTTTTGGTTTCTTCAAAATAACAAAAACTATAAGGAAAGTGAGAAATAACAAGGTGAATAGAATAAAATAATATAAAAACGTTACAAGTAATGTCAATACATTTAATGAAAAAATAAAGGTTGATTAGTGTAACATGAGTTTGCTCTATTAATTGAGAAAATTCATTTCTGTCATAGAGCACAGAATGAGGTGGATTAATCCCATAGGATGTGTTAAGCACAGATAATGAGTAAGCGAGTAGCTTGTAAGACAAAGGTAGAATTCATAATATACTAAATATAGACACAAAAGAACCTAACAATCTGAAAGATGTGTTAAAACTAGACAGACCAAATGAAATGTATGATGAAAGAAAGGAACGTGTTATTTATAGATGGATAGGGATGGAAAGAACTTATCACCCTTATACCAGCCACTTACGGTCCTGCTGTGGGACCACATGTACTCTACCTAAGAAATGCTTATAATACCCATAGCTGTTTGCAGGCTGATTGACAAGTTATGGCTGTGGTCAGGCGTACTTGTCACTGTCTGTCTTTAATAGAGGAAGTGTGTATCATTGGTCCCAAGCACCTTCTGTTGACCTCACTCAAACTTCAATCTGTTCTAACCATCGGTGAAGAAGGCTGATGCCACAGATGAACAGAGACACAGGATATATGAATACTGCCTAACTCAGGATTCGCCTGGTGTGGTCTTTCCCACTTGAACCCTGACCTAAGTGTGGAAAGTTACCCCATCTCTTTACTCTCGCTTCAGGTTATGTGCTTTAAAGTGATTTAATAAACTAACATCTTCATTTAATATTTGAGCCTGGTTTGTGACTTCCAGGATAGCTTGCCTTGTAGTATACTTGGAAGTCACCGTTGCATCAAGGTAATATCTCATGGCAACTGCAAAACACTTAGAAAATTAAGAACATAGCACTGTGTAGCGTAAAGGAAAGTAATCTAAAGAGGAGAAAGAAAGGTAGTCACAAATTGTGTCATTAATAGACTGAAAGACCAAAAAAAGTAAAGGACAAACCAAAAGACAAAATGTGGAAAAGATTTTGTTTTCTAAATTGATTTAAAGAAAAAAAAAATGAGACAAGAAAGAAAGGCATGGTTTGGGGCAATGTATAACTGTCATCTATACCAATTCTATTTTATTTCTGAGACCAAAATAACAGTTTCAGAGGTAAATACAACAAAGTCCAACAAGTGGACTAATCCCTGAATTTCTTCTTCCTCCTCCTCCTCCTTCTTCTTCCTCCTCCTCTTTCTTTCTTTTCCTTTTTCCTTCCTTCCTTCCCTCCCTCCTCTCTTTTTCTTTCTTTCCTTTCTTTTTTCTTCTCTCTCTCTTTCTCTTTCTTTTCTCTGCCTCTGTGTTTTTCTTTGTTTCTTTCCTTTTCTTTCTTTTTCTTCTTTTTTTTTTTTACAGAAAAGAATCTCTCCCTCTGCTGCCTAGGCTGGAGTGCAGTGCTGTGATCACAGCTCGTTGTAATCTCAAATTCCTGGGCTCAAGTAATTGTCCCTTCTCAGGCTCCCAAGTAGTTAGGACTACAGGTGCACATCACCACACCCAGCTAATTTTTATTTTATTTTTATAGAGACAGGTCTCAAGCAATCCTCCTGCCTTGGCCTCCCAAAATGCTGGGATTACAGGTATGAGCCACTGCACCTGGCCTATCCTGAATTTCATTTAATTCATGCTACATAGCATTACAAGTTTGTAAAAAATGTTTACTACATTTTTAAAGAGAAAAGTGACAGGCTTTAAAAATACCTAAAACAAACAAACAAACAAAAAAACTAGGAAGGAAATGCATATAAAATAATATTTTCTATAAAAGGTTTTATTGTTTATATAAAATTACTGAAACATTCTCTGTAAATGTATTCCTATCTAAAAAAAATTAATAATGCAAGTCAATTCTAAGCAAAAAGAACACAGAGGGAGGCATCACACTACCGGACTTCAAACTATACTACAAGGCTACAGTAATCAAAACAGCATGGTACTGGTACCAAAACAGAGATACAGACCAATGGAACAGAACAGAGGCCTCAGAGGCAACACAGCATATCTACAACCATACAATATTTGATAAACCTGACAAAAACAAGCAATGGGGAAAGGACTCCCTGTTTAATAAATGGTGTTGGGATAACTGGCTAACCATATGCAGAAAGCAGAAACTGGACCCCTTCCTGACACCTTACACTAAAATTAACTCCAGATGGATTAAAGACTTAAATATAAGACCTGGCGCAATAAAAACCCTGGAGGAAAATCTAGGCAAAACCATTCAGGACATAGGAGTAGGCAAGGACTTCATGACCAAAACACCAAAAGCGTTGGCAACAAAAGCCAAAATAGACAAATGGGACCTAATGAAGCTCCACAGCTTCTGCACAGCAAAAGAAACAGTCACTAGAGTGAATCGGCAACCAACAGAATGGGAAAAAATGTTTGCAATTTACCCATCTGACAAAGGGCTAATATCCAGAATTTACAAAGAACTCAAACAGATTTACAGGAAAAAAACAAGCCCATTCAAAAATTGGCAAAGGATATGAACAGACACTTTACAAAAGAAGACATATATGAGGCCAACAATCATGAAAAAATGCTCATCATCACTGGTCATCAGAGAGATGCAAATCAAAACCACATTGAGATACCATCTCACGCCAGTTAGAATGGCGATCATTAAAAAATCTGGAGACAACAGGTGCTGGAGAGGATGTGGAGAAAAAGGAACACTTTTACACTGTTGGTGGGAGTGTAAGTTAGTTCAACCATTGTGGAAGACAGTGTGGCAATTCCTCAAGGCCTTAGAAATAGAAATTATTTGACCCAGCAATCCCATTACTGGGTATATATCCAAAGGACTATAAATCGTTCTACTATAAGGACACATGCACACGAATGTTCATTGCAGCACTGTTTACAATAGCAAAGCTCTGGAATCAACCTAAATGCCCATTGATGATAGACTGGATTGGGAAAATGTGGCACACATACACCATAGAATATTATGCAGCAATCAGAAATGATGAGTTTGTGTCATTTGTAGGGACATGGATGAATCTGGAGAACATCATTCTCAGCAAACTGATACAAGAACAGAAAATGAAATACCGCATATTCTCACACATAGGCGGGTGATGAACAATGAGAACACATGGACACAGGGAGGGGAGTACTAAACACTGGGGTCTATTGGGAGGAAAAGGGGAGGGCCAGTGGGCGGGGGAGGTGGGGAGGGATAGCCTGGGGAGAAATGCCAAATGTGGGCGAAGGGGAGAAAGGAAGCAAAACACACTGCCATGTATGTACCTATGCAACTGTCTTGCATGTTCTGCTCATGTACCCTAAAACCTAAAATGCAATAAAAAATTTAAAAAAAAATTAATAATGCAACTATCTTAAATATTTGTGGAATAAAAAATTTATTAAAATGAAATATATCTTTAAAATGAAACTAGGCCAGGCATTGTGGCTGACGCCTTTAAGCCCAACACTTTGGGAGGCCAAGGCAAGTGGATCACCTGAGGTCAGGAGTTCGAGACTAGTCTGGCCAACATGGTGAAACCCTGTCTCTACTAAAAATACAAAAGTTGGCCAGGGGTAGTGGCATGTACCTGTAATCCCAGCTACTCAGGAGGCTGAGGCAGGAAAATTGCTTAAACCTAGGAGGTGGAGTTTGCAGTGAGCTGAGATCTTGCCACTGCACTCCAACCTGGGAGACAAAGCAAAACTCCTTCCCTCCTCCCCACCAAAAAGTAATTAACTTCTAATTTATCTCTTTTATAATTTATTTTCTTTAGCAAGTCACTGTGTCTCTATGCATTACAGAAAATAGCTAGTTAAAAACTTGTCAAGGTAAGTGAAATAGCTGTATGTATAAATTGCTTGTAGGGATATCTGTAATAAGTTACCATACTTACATAAGAAATGAAATTGTTTACCAGGCGAATACTTCTTGGCATTAACTTTGTGATGTTTAAAGAATATGAAATTCTGTGATGTAGCTTATTCAAACAGTTTGAATACTTTAACACTGTTTTTTAATTTGTTTGTTTTTACAACTTAATTCTTTCCCTGAAGTTGAGTCTTTTCTCCCTAAGTTAAATTTGAAATGGTAAAAGCAATTAGAAAAAGTAAGTGCATTCTATGATGAATCAAAAATAAAGCTTGCATTCAAAGAGATTGAAAATACAATATCATTAAGTCCTACTTATTTTTATTAATGATATGTTTGGCATTTTAAATATTTTTATCATTTTATAACCCAGAACAATAAAAGATCTGGTCTAAGAATTTACAAACTACTATTTGTAAGTAGTAAACTTTGTGCCATTAAAAAAAATATTATAAATTAGAAAAATACAAAAAAATATTTTTTTACTTTATATCAGATGAGCATAAAAATGGATTTCGTTGTCTACATTCTTTAAAATGTATGTCACATTATTGTAGCCGATACAAATACTGTGATTTTTACCCCAAACAATTAGGTTGTGAGTGAATACGAAAGGCAATCTTTGTATATATGCTCAAAAGAAAGATAATAAAAATTATGGCAAACACAGTAAATCTGTTTCAGATTATAAATGAGTGCATCCAAAAGTAATCGCTGGAGTTACTGTTCATTGTTGGCTTCCCAGCATTCTCCTCTGGGCATTTATATCTGATAGCTTATGAGTGATGCAGAATTAGTGTTCACTGGTCATTGATTACTTAGAATTTCTTCTGATTCGAATTATATCTAATGTTTTTTTCTCCCATCCATTTATGGGTCAAATGTACAATAAAGCAAAACATGTTGATTCTGGTGAAATTTAGCAGAGAAAAACAGCTTTGGCTGGTGGCCACAGAAACTTGAAAAGCTTTACTGAAAGGAAATAAATTGGATACCTTTTCATCCTGGATATGAACTGGATTCCAACCTAAACTTCCAACTGTAATAATTTTGCTATTTATCTAAAGTCTGAACCTTGCATATGGCAATACTTATCTCAAGCAAAAATATAGTTTCACATTGGTAGTACTGTATTCAGGAAAACTGGAAATCATATTATGAAGAAGCAACTCTACCACATCTATATCTAAGTCTACATTGGTAGCTGCTGGAAACAGATGTTATATTCATACGAGGGTAAGCTCATAATGTATGTGTATGTACACATACGTGCACACACATATATGCTAACGTATAATTTGCAAAAATTTTAAGATATATAGGAAGAGTATCTTTTTATTCAGAATATTCAACAAACAGGACTCATAGTGTAAAATCAAGAAAAATTAATTATTTTTTTTTCTACTACCCTTTCTGTGGATTTGGTTCTTCCTCTGTCCCTGAATGTAAACTTATGTAGTCTATATGCTTTTTGTGTTCATTCCTAAATATTAGAAATAGTTATTTGATTACTTAAGCTTTAATCTCAGTTTAATAACCAAATATGAGATTAAAATTTAATTCTGGCTATAGAATTAAGGCTTCTCTCTCCTGCCACACTTTCAGGCCAGTTGCAGGCATGATACCAGCAGTCTGGGAGGTAGAGACAAGAGGACACAGTATTCTGCTTCCCTGTTTCCCCATGGGGATGTGCCAACTTTGATTTCACCAGGCCTACAGTGTTTCCCAGGTGTGGATTGTGAGGGAGGAGAAGATTTAATGGAAGCAGCTTAAGGGTAATATTCAAATTAAACTAATACTTTCTTCATGATCCAGCATTGAAATTTTCTGGACTTGACAGATATTTAAAATTGACTCTTATTCTCATCATCATTTTCATGGATTCCTCTGAGATCCATGTTACCCAACCTGTGGGTTCCCATGAGAAGGATTAATACATCTATGTTCCTTCTGGACCTTTATTTGCCTGGCTTCTTTCTACAGGGACTATTCACCCTTATGGGCCATCCTTTTGAGCATAACCTAACAAGACCCATGCTGACTTTAAATGAGTGGTACACATTTGGTTCGTAGGAAAACTGCATTGTTTGTCCCCAACGAACTTTGGAAGTAATATTTATTTTACTGCTGGAATTAAGGAAAACCAGAAATCCTACTACAAAATGGCTCCTCTAAACATTCACAGTACCCCTTTTTGTCTCTGCCCTCTGAGCAACTCACCAGCTCTACTTCTCTGGATTTTCCAAATGAAAGGTAAACACATCCATGTCCCTAAGACCTTAAGTTCTTCTAGTGGTCTCTTTAAGCTTACTCTCTTGAATTAGGGTGAAAAGAGACTGCCTTCTACCCATCCTCTTGAGGAGAGGGGTGGAATTATAGCCTAACAACAATAATTTCCAAAAATTTTCTCCTCCAGTCTCTAATTCTCAACCAGTTTAGACTTTCAAAGTGGTTAATGTAGTTTAAAGCCTTACAGCCAATTATGCTCTACTTCTTGTACAA